TTGAGAAATGTTACAATTGAAATCAAGTGATGCAAACAAAAATATTATATCCAATGACACTTTAATTTTCTATGAATTTTAATAATGAACATATAATGGTAAGAATGATGGACACCTAAAGTAGTTAATTTCCATAGGAAATCTATAGAAAGTTGATTCTGAGTGTATAATGTAACTGATAGTGTGGAAAAGATTGATACTTGGTAAATTTCATTTATACAACATATAAATGTCCAAATAAAGTTCATATTTTATAGTTTGAAAAAAAAATCTGGGTATCAGGTAAATGATATTTTCAAATGAGTAAATAAATAAAACAGAATTATTTTACTGACGTTTCACCACTTAATACTAATAATATCTTAGTCAGATTAGGCAACCACTGTCGTGGAAGTCTTACTCACTACCTTCTCGCGTTATTACTATTGTTTACGAAATTCAGAGGACGAAAAGCGAATGTCTAGCCCTTTAACCGGATTGGTGGACACAGAGAATTCACATAGGGGAGTTGGTAAACCCTGATTCCAAATCAATGATGCACATGGGCTCCAGTATCCTGGGGGAAAAATGGCGTATGAACCAATAGTTGGTCACCAGCTACTATGGGACTGCATCTCCTCACGATGCTCCACTGCCCTTTTGGATCGAACCTTTAGGTCAAAGGCTTCAGGTGTAGCTCCCTAAGAAAACCACCTGCTTCGGTTTGGGCACCCGGGCAGTATTCCAGTCCTCACATAAATCGAATGATTTATGTGGCACATATTTAGTTGGTGCCTCCTTATATCAATGTTGATGTGTTTAAATAAAAAAACAAGAAGTAGTGACCAAAGGAGTTCAAACATGTTGGTCGTGAGATAGTTATTCACCTCAAGCATTGAAAAAATGTCCCAAAATAACATAAATTAGTTGAAGTTAGACAATGTGACCACTGGATGCTCGTTAAGTGGTCTAGACATTTCATTTCATGATCGAGACCATAGGTCCTTGGTTAGATTCCTGGTTGCTGTACCGTGGTTAGGCGCTTCTGAGGAGTACCGTACTTGAACGAAACGGGCGTTCCATGCTTTGCAGTTCTCAACAGTGGTTTAACTAAGATTAGTCGATTAGATAAAACTATGAAAATGCCATACTTGTCTAGCCCACTTTTATCTGGACTGTGATTTTTGGTGAAACCGATTCCAATCTGAATTTCCACAGGTTTGTAGGTCTCCATTACTGATGAGTTATAACTAACACGAAATCGTGTTTTAGGATCATCGTTAAAAATTGTCGTTAACCATCGAACACCGATATGAGCATTTTTGGAAGTTAGTTTTCATAGAAATTTATCTATGAAGATTTCTTGAGGTAATTTTTAATGTTTCATTAAACACAACTCAAAATCTAAAGTATAGTAAAATTGTATTTAAAGCAATTATACTGTTATATTTTGATGGAACAGTTCACTTGTGTTTAAAATTTAGTGAAATCATTAACAGGTAGCTTTGTCTATTTATTTCTTTCAATCACCATCAAAATAACACAGTACATTGATTCGGTTAGCTAAATTTTTTCGTATTGTCGTTAGCTGGATCAGTAAAAATTTAACGAATCGTAACGAACAAGACATATGTGATTAGTTGCCGTAATTATACTTAAAAAGAATAGGAATCGACATAAACTCTTAGTATCAGGTTAAAATCAGTTGTTTTCACAAGAGGAGACGAGTTTCATACGAACTTAGATTTTAGTCAATCAGTCAGCTACAACGTAGGACCAGGCATATATATGCATCGATCCAAGTTGCCATACCTCATTAGCAAAACAAGATGAATACCAAATTCATTGAAACAGTCAATTTAATGGTAGTTATACGCAAAAGAAAGATTGTGTATAGGGAAATAATACAGAACGAAAGAATTAGTTCGTAGAAACAAAGATATAAAGCAATTTTAATCTCACAGTTTAAGGGAAGACAAAGAGTGTATACACTGACGTCATTGTGATCGATTCTGAGCCATGTCACACACAGTCTTCAAACATTGGTTACGATAGTAACGCGGACACCTCCCCCACAAGTAGTCTGCATCTACTAGCATGGCTGATGTGAACAGGGAAACAAGAAGCCCTGACAAACTACGAAGGCTATCTTTCGGGACGTTATTTCATTTTATTCGAAGCTTGTTAAACACTGACATTTATTTTTATCCCTAGAAATGGACAAAGCACCAAATGACATTAGTTAGTGAAATCTCTGACTGTTAGATGAGCCGTATTTAGAGATGCAAACTACCTAATTAGGGCCACTAAATAACCTCGATTAGTTGGTTGGAGATTTTCGAGTAGCATAGTTCAAACTCAATCACAGTGGCGTAGATACATGCATTCTCCAAAATTAATTCACACTATTTATTAGTTGGATGAATCTCTTCTCTTCGAACCGCATTGTCCTATATCCAGTCAATATTATTCATATCAATATTATCTGAAGTACTTTGAGGTATGTGACAACATGGGTTGATTCACTTTCGTGTCAACCTCTATCCGGATCATAACTCATTGATTGATTTTACATGAATCATCCAATTACTCAGTATCATTTGTTTGGTTACAGTAAATAATTATCGATATCAATATATCAATATAACAACCCATTCTTATCATTTATTCGTTTAACTCGTGGGTACTCACAATAAATACATATAAATCTATTTAAACAGTGATTGTTTGCAATTACTCTTCTTATATAAGCGTTTACAACTAATTTTGTTCCTATGACACATTTTTCATTGCATAATGCAAATTTAATGAATGAGACCTAATGTAATAGAATCTTATTTGTTTAAGGAATGCAGAAGAAAGAAAATACACTAAACAATTTGGTAGTTCCGCTAAAATGTTGTAATATATAGCTACGTGATAGCTTGTAAGATTTTACATATGCCTTAAACCAGATGACTTAATTGTGTAGTTAAGATGCATAATTAATTAGTTAAGGTAAATCTTAGCAGATGGAAGACCTTTTACAAGGTTTTCGCTGTAGAAAAATAGATAATATAAAGATTTGATGAGTCTACCAGGACATTTTGTAATACAGGACTTCAAAACAGTCCACTCATTTCACATGATAAAATATATAACAAAACTGACACATTCTGATCTACCTACCATCAATAACTACTCATAATATGTTAGTAATTTAATCTGTTACATCCATTGACGATTAAATGAATAGTAACTTGCAGGAATTATTTATGGACTATTATTATATATATTTTTATTGTATAATTATTACGTAACTAGATGAAATGTGTCTATCTTCCTTTTATCATAAGCTTTCGTTCGACACATCAACTACTAATATACGATGTACCAATTGATTTATTCCCGTTCTATTAGTTTTAGTCCTCCATACCGAAGCCACATTTGGCTTGATCTTGTAGAATTGTTATTTTTCACTTGATGATGTGATGCAGTCTCATCTGCTTGTACAATAACTATGTATGTCTGAAATATATGGTTCATACATAACAGGGGTTGATATTGTGTTCTGGACTCAACAGACGAGGAAAGAGGAGAACTAATTTATCGAGGACTAGTAGTGTTTTAGAGTTGAATCAAGGTTACCATTGCTAGTTGGAGAGTTATTAGTTAGCTCGTAGACAAGATCATGAAAGTCGACATTCTGACTGGTGGTTTTTTATCACGTGATATAAACAGGGCAAAAAGTCACAACATCATCAAGTTTACCAAAATAAATGTCATAACTAACAAGAAAATTTTGTATGTCAGACTGAAAGACGAACTATATATACTGTATAGTATATACAGTATATCCGAGTGGTTTTCGTTATGGTCTAATTAATAACAGTTCGGCTAGGACTACTATTGTAAACTAAAAAGTAGTAAATAAATATTTTTACTCATATTTATAGCCTAATCAAACATCGAAGCCACGAGTTTCATCTCCAAGAGGGAGCACCTAACCCATAAAGCATTGTGTCGGTATACAATATTTCTTATTCCCAAACTACAGAGAATCCAAGTTAAAGACAATATAAGCTCCTATAAATGACCCTAGAAGATCAGTATACTACGTATTTACCTAAAATAATTACAAGGAGTAGGGGTACAGTAATGAACAAGTGAATGACCAAAAATATTGATGAAGTTCTGAACAAATTCTTAATGATTATCCACTTATCTATGTTGACACAAGAATCATGTATCATCTTGTGTAATTGGGTTATCGACTTATCAAAAGTAAAATATTTCCTTGTGATAATTTGACACAAAAGTTCCTAGAACGTTTGACGAACTTCTGAAAACAACTATTTTGTTCACCATAAAATAAGTTAGAACTGTTGGATTTTTTCGACGGAAAACGCTAAAGAGATTCATAATCCATTATCAAATACAAATTGATTTATTAACTAAAAATTTCAACAATCATCAATTGTTTAGTAGTAACCAATGTTGTAGTTGTCATTACCACAGTGTTACTCATATTTTATCAGTGCAGTCACTTTGTTAAGTTATTCACCGGTATAAACAAAGCAGTAGAAGTACATGGATTTTCGTTCTATGCCACTGACTACTAGTCATCAGAACATATATGTAAACTTGAGAGCTATGATCCTCTAACATTGGATTTCACTTGTATTACTCAATGATCTAGTCACATACTCTCAACTCTCAACAAATCTACGAAATACATTTATATCAACTTATTATTGAGTAGTAATCAATTATGTGCTTGTGCACTCAGTAGTAGTGTTGATGCATTCACATCAGTCAGTTTGCTGCAAGATTCTAAATAATTCTAGTTGAAGAATACTAATGCACAGAAACCTAGATATTTAGTAGTTACAAGACAACTGTTACAGAGTATCGCTTCACAAATCGATAAATTATTCTTACAATAACCGTTAACTTCCGTTGTATTCGAACTTCTAGTCACGGTGATTTCATGTGTAACCGATTTCGGGATCAAATGTTATAAACCTGTTCAGATGGGAAAATCAACCAAAATGAAAGGAATACTCGAGGAAAAACGAACACAATATACTGACTTCAATATCACTTTCTGACTTGGATACAAGTGTCTTTTGTCCATTTACAAGTGTCGTTTCTGGTGGACGATAGGTCAACGAATAATGGTGCCAATTCGAATCACATACTTCGTCGACATCGAAACGCCATTGAGATGGAAGTAACTGAGACGAATCAGAATATAGGGTGGATTCATTGGTTGGTTCACGACGTATCAATACAACCAGTTTACAATTATGCAGAAACACAGCAAAGTGATGCCGATTCTTTTCTTTAACATAATAATAATAACAATAGTATCAATTAGTCCAATGATATCGTTTTAAATTAAGTGATGGTAAGAGGAAATGAAATTGTATTTGTGCTGGCTAATCAATTGACAAATGTTTGAGCGAACTTCAAAAATTGATTGTGTATTCAAGTAGCTGATTTATGATATTCAGTTTTGAAAGTGAGTTTTTGGAATCTCTAGTTTAAGAGTATACTACAGTTTCACTAAAGCAAATAATTTAAAATGCGACCTGTCTAGCTGATTGTCAGTGTTGTAACAATGATTTTTAAAGAATCTTATGGAGAATAGAACGGGTACAGTATTACGAATGTAGTAGTCTCTTCCACCAAGAAAAATTAAATTTACAACCACACATTGTAGCGAAATATGTCTTTCACCAATGAAGAAACAAAAGAGTTATACGTGATTCCTCTCAACGATCCGGACAAGTATGAAACAATAGGCCGATGTTTGTTCCATGTTTGATAAACTAGAAAGACAATAGAAGGAATTAAACAACCTAACTTAACATGGTCATTAAACGTATTTGTGGAGGTTACCGTTCGTATATTGATTTCATAATTCCTGTTTTATGCAAAATAAAGTCGCATAATGTTTTGATGTACAGTGAACTTCTACAAGCTTATTGTTTGTCTGCAAAAGTAATTGTCATACTGGATGACGAAAGAATATTACAAAATAGCATATACATTTAAATTGTTATCAGCATAATGGAAGAATATAATATAGTGATGATGGAGATTTTCAACCCAAATAGATAATTTTAGTGATATTGTAATCTATTAGCTGGATGATTTAATCGTGTCGCTTTAATTGCTGTCCAAAAAAGCATTCTCATCATCAACTTCTTCTTTGAACAACCGCTAAAGATATGGTGTAATCGAACTATTCGGCTCATAGAATACAACATTAACCTAACAATTCACAAAATATAAAGTAGCAGGTAATTAATAATTCTTCAACTGATCATAATTTGTATTTAAAATTTTATTCGACAAAAAGGAAATATTCACTTCACTTATTATATTATTCACTTGTAATCTGAATTCAAAAGGGAAATAATAATAAAAAAAACAATAACAAAAGACGGGTTTCGTGGATATTGTAGCAATTTAGTAATTGAATTCATAAGTCAATTAAAGTTACCAGGTTTTCCATGGGGTTCTAGCTCACTAGTGACTAGCTATGTAAGAGTATTCTCGGAGTTCTAGTAAGAAACCGTGACCAGTAGAGATAATCCGTGTCAGGTAGAGACAGGTATCTACCTCAACACAATGGAAGATGGTTGCACAATTTCGTGGATTAGTTGAAGTTAGACAATAACACAATTGGATGACGGCTGGTTCAGTAGTCTAGACATTAAGTGTTCAAGCTCAAGACTGATAGGTCCTGGGTTCGAATCCTGCGAGGCAGGATCGTGGATCCTTACTGCTGAGGAATTCCACACTAGAACGAAACGACCATCCAGTGCTTTCAGACATTCAATGGTTGTCTAAAATCAATCAATTCATGATCTCAATCAATTACTAAAACAATAACTAATAACTACTTACCATATTCATCGGAACTGCATAAAATATTCTCTCGATTATTTAATAAATTCTTTTCATGATATTGTTTATTAAATATTGGTGAATGTTTCATCCAAAAATTTATTGTAAATAATTGATTATCAAATCGTTGTAATTTATGAAATTTATTAAATTTGTTTAAATCAAAATGCATTGAACCATTAAAATAATAAATACCAGATGGATAACCTTTTTTATTGATTTTAGGTAATTCATTTAATCCTTCAATTGTTTCAATAATTGGTAAATTTATATGATTATTTTGATTGAATTTTTGTTGTTCATCAATATCTGGTAATAGATCGACAGTTTTACTTTGAGAAGAATCGACTGAAAAAAAATAACACAACTAGATGGTGAATATATGCAATGATACTAGGCTACAGAATTCAAGATATGGATATCATTTCGAAACATGATATCCAATGGTTCCAGCCATTATTGATTAAGATACTTAGTGTCAAGATATATATCTTCGTATATTATTTAGATAGAGCATCAATGGTCTCATTACATTGTTGACATATTTTGTTTTAACTGATTTTACACTTTTTCAAACTTACTCCTTGCATAGTTATTGTTTAAGTCCTACGAAATAAGCGATGACTGAGAATTTATGGTACATTAGTAAATTTAGTTTAATATTTTCATCAATAAATTTGTTGTTTTGACCAAAGTGAAAGTTTCATTATAAGCGAGGAATGGTTTAAAGTTATCTGTGGTCGAGTACGGGCAACGTATCAAAGTACTCAACCTTCGAGATCCATCGTTTACAACTATAGGTAGTTAAAATGGACTGCTGTGCACTATCCTTAGTAAAATCTGGCCTAGAACTTCACGTAGTTCTTAGCGGGGGGTATAGGATTGTGCATTATTAACCAGCATGGAAAGTCGATAGATATCGGTCTAAACAATCACTATCGTGAAACTAAATCCAAAAATCAGGTTTTAACTCGTGCTGGACAACATAGGGTGTAGCACTTATGAATATGTATGCGTTTTGAGAGTAATAGATTGATTTAATTCATATCTTTCAGATGTACATATTGCATATTTGGGCAAAAAAACCGTTACATGGACCGTATTCATGCTAATATGTATGCTAGGAGTACATGGGTTTCTGACCTGTGCATTTCAAATTCACATTTAATGTTTAGTTGGATAACTTGGATCGAACACTAATGGGCAGCAAATAAAAGAAGGGAAGCGGAGCGAATCCTCTAGTTCTAAATTGGCATATATGCTTAGGTCGATTTGATTTGTGTAACTCAGGTGTGTATGCAATGTATACTTGTCACAAAGATCAGTTTCAAACTATCTTCTTAAATTGAGTAATAAATATCTAAATAATCGTAAAATCCAAACAGTTGTCCTTATGGTTTTCCTGACCGATTTCAGCTTGAAACATACATCCTAGCTCAGTTATATCTGCTCGTGTGAACACGTAAACTTATCCAGGCACTATAACTTCCCAATAATAAACAGATGAATGCCTTTTTTGAGTTACGAATATTAAAAGTTCGTAAGAGGCACAAGAATTAGATAGTTTGGACTGGATACCAAATGATGATCTTTGTGTACGGAAAGATAAATTACATAAACTTTACGAAATTATTGTAGTTAGTTATAGATAGTTACTAAATCATAAATTATATCAGAAAGAGCTTGAACTCTCCAACATAAACTAAGTAGACTATGATCTCTTGGTTGAGTTAAATATAAATTCATTGATTTTTATATTTTCCATTAACCAGTAAATTCAGATTATTGGGAAATTTCTACGTCGTTTTTGTGCACTGACATTATGTAAATCAGTTCAAAGAACATGAAGCATAAAGATAACATAAATCAGAGAGAAAAAAATATGTACAGTTATAGGGAGTCTGAAGATTGAACCGAAGATGCTTTTCAATCTTAAATAATTCAGAACTGAAGTCTATAATATAACTACCACTATTAGCGATGAAAGTTCCCCTTATTTAGGTTGATCTAAACCAAAATTAATTATAAATTACTAAGTAACTAAAATATTTGGAGATATAAAATGTCTCAATCCATGATATCCGACGCGGATACTACACTCGAAATGTGCTTAACCAACCAGTTATGAGAGTGAGCAGATTGAGAAATGGCTAGGAATAATTAAATATATAAATCCTTGACGTCCATATATTTGTTCTTTTAAGCATAATAAGGATATGTACACTATAACTTTAAAAAAAACACAATCGAAGTCTCTTTATAGAGTGGCCTCGTCTGAAACTTCTCACCTAACCTTTGACCTTAGGTTGGTATATGAAAACAAGTGTATAGTCAGGAATTACAGATTTTGTACTGCACTGTTCGGAAGTCTTAATCTATGACATCCAAAGTTATCTATTATTCGGTAGTTTATAGTTGTTCACCAGCTGGTACTATGTTGTAATGAAAATAATAAACAAAAAAAATCAATTGAAACTATACCTAAACCAGGGAACAATTACTTACTGCATATTTTACGATTAGCCATCAATGAATAATAATCTAAATCACATTCTGAAGAAGAAGATTCTATTGTTGTTGTTGTTGTTGTTGCCGATAATGATGAAGATGGTTGAATAGTTTGATCATCATTTATAATAATATCTTCTTTACTCCATAAAATTTTCATACGTAATGTTACTTGTTCTATTGGACAATAATCATATTCAGTGATTACTTCATTTAAATCATTAGAATTATCATTAAATGTATCATCATTATCAGGATGAATAAGATAAGTAAAATTATTATTTTTTTGTGGACAAATTAAAAATTTTGCATTCGATGCAAATGGATATGGATTTGATAATGCAGAATACTCAATTTCTTTAGGGATACCTAAAAATCAATAAAAAAAGAATTGATAGAATTTTACCTTAGATAGTTGTCTATCACAATATCCTATTGTGAAGTTAACATGAATTAAACAATATATCATCAATCAGAATCATATTCTTTTTTGTTCATTAGTGAAAAGGAAACATACTCACATGGTAGATTATTATATGGAAACAATATACAACTGTCATAATTTCTGCTACTTTTAGATTTCATGTCAATAAATAATGAGGGTTATGTAATCGATTTCATTGTAATAATTGTAATTGTAATGATGATTACAGTAGTTATGTAATCAATTAGTAATTGCTTTAACTTTTGGTTTATCACTTTGGTTTGATAAATTGGTAATATTCATTTAAATAGAAGAAGAGATTTAGTGAATCGTTTAGGGTAAAAGGGTGGAAAAATAAAATATAAAGCACAAAAAAAGTAGTTTGTAATTAATTGATTGAATTCATGAGTCAATTGAACCTAGACAACCTTGGAAAACTTGGAAGCACTGAACGGCCGTTTCGTCCTATTTTGTGAGTTCTCAGCAGTGCATATCCACGTTCCCGACTCGCAAGATTCGAACCTAGGACCTATCAGTCCCGCGTGCAATTGCTTAACCACTAGACCACTGAGCCGATTGGCATCCAACGGTGTTATTGTCTAACTTCAACCAATCCACGAAGTTGTACTTTACATTTATTGACTTAAATTTACAATTTTGTAAACTACGGAGTAGTTATTGTTACTGATTATAAAACTCAATAAAAACGGTTGTGTTATTCAAGGTTCAGTAAGGGTTGAAGCGTCTACAAAAATCACCTCAGAAATAATTAACAGTATGGGGGTTGTGGAGATTATTAAGTTTTTGATTGAGATCATGAACCGATTGATGTTAGATCACCGCTGAAAACCTGGAAGCCCTGGGTTCAAATTCCCCGAGCGGGATCGTGAATGCGCATTGCTGGGGAGTCCCACCATAGGACGAAACGACCGTCGAGTACTTCCAGGTTTCCAACGGTGGTCTAACATCAATCGAATCATGATCTGAGTCAAAAATAATTACCAGATTATTCAGTTTGAAATCACCTTGATGCACACTATCTAAATACTAATTAATCTAACCAGCTTTCTGTTCAGTTATTCAAATTAAAGTGCACACATTTTTTTAATAAAAGAACTCACAATCAATTTTACTGTTATTAGTAAGTATTGTATACGTTAATGACTACCTGGACTCAGTAAGTCAGGAGCTAACGTGCTCGTTGTTAAAGAGATGAGTAATGAGTATGAGTCCCAATATAAACATAAACATTGGGACCCATATACACTCAGCTAACAAGTCCTATGTAGGACAAAACACATGATGTGGAACCCACTGTCAGATTTTCACGTTCATTTACAATCACGTAGTCTGACAATTAAAACAGGTAGGTAAACGTTAAAAGTGAGCAAAAGTCGTACATATATTCATTTGATCATTTTTAATGTTGTATATACACTCAAGCTATTGTAATAAAGCAAAAATATAATGACTAAAACAGTGAAACGTCAGAAACAATAAATATCATATGACATATTTCGATATAAGGCAAAATGAAATAGATGGGATACATTTAGACATTGGAAAACTAAAAGCATGAGTCAACTAGGTGAGCTAATATGTGTGTGTGTGTGTGTGATTACATTAAGTTAAAAAGCACAGTTATACACGAACAGACGCAAATATTTAGAGGAAACGAAATTCATTTAGCTTGTAGTATATGGAAAAATTAAAAATTACAAGTGTCAATATGTAAAATACTGAAGTTTTCTTTCCACATACATAAACTAATATACGTATTGTACATACATAAATAGATAAATGTTTCATCTTTCCTTTCTACAGTTCTATTCCATTAAAATACTATTATGATATAATAACCAGACAAAGGCGACTAGAGATATACAATAAAGATCCGTACACATTTATACACACACACACACACACTGATACACCTATATTATTCACGGTTAAGTAATTTTCCTATATAGAATTTCGATGTAACAAATCTACAGTATGTAGGAAATCCATTTAAACAACGTTAAATGAAGAGAGTAAGAGCGAGGGACAGAGTGATTAAGTAACTATTGACAAAGGAAATGAATATTTCATTTTCTATCTTTAACAGTGTATAGGAGATGGAATGTTGTCGGTAAAAACTCAATTAATCGGGGAAATTATTCACAAAATGGTATATAATAATAGTTATTATTATTATTATTGTCACTTTAGTCAATACTGAATAATAAGAACAATATGTAACTTTCAGCCCATAAAGTAGCTTTTGATAGGAAAGTAGTATGTATGTAGCTACAGTTTGCATTAATAGATTGAGAAAATTTCAATTTGATGCTTAAAAAATGTTGAATATACGTATAAGGTTATTTGGAGTTTAAAGACTGTTTAAGAAGTAGTACTGTAACGTATATAGATATAGACTAAACGGGTATTGTACATTTAATGGTAGATCGAAAGAATTCAAAATTATTGGACGGGCATTATTAACAATGTTTTCAACGGCAAACTTTTGTATTGTTATCAGAGTTTACGATAGAATAATAGGCTTGTGAAAATTCATTGTTGGTCAAAACATTAGGCAATTTTTATTAAATGTTTGAAGAAAATATTGTGCATAAAACAAAAATTATGAAAGGAATATACAACCTGTGACCTTCACAGACACATTCAGTATAATGTGATCATTTTTCCTCGAGTATTCCTTTCATTTTGGTTGATTTTCCCATCTGAACAGGTTTATAACATTTGATCCCGAAATCGGTTACACATGAAATCACCGTGACTAGAAGTTCGAATACAACGGAAGTTAACGGTTATTGTAAGAATAATTTATCGATTTGTGAAGCGATACTCTGTATCAGTTGTCTTGTAACTACTAAATATCTAGGTTTCTGTGCATTAGTATTCTTCAACTAGAATTATTTAGAATCTTGCAGCAAACTGACTGATGTGAATGCATCAACACTACTACTGAGTGCACAAGCACATAATTGATTACTACTCAATAATAAGTTGATATAAATGTATTTCGTAGATTTGTTGAGAGTTGAGAGTATGTGACTAGATCATTGAGTAATACAAGTGAAATCCAATGTTAGAGGATCATAGCTCTCAAGTTTACATATATGTTCTGATGACTAGTAGTCAGTGGCATAGAACGAAAATCCATGTACTTCTACTGCTTTGTTTATACCGGTGAATAACTTAACAAAGTGACTGCACTGATAAAATATGAGTAACACTGTGGTAATGACAACTACGACATTGTCTACTACTAAACAGTTGATACCAGATTCAATATTCAATTTTATTGACTGACTGATAAGCAGATTATGAAGCAAATAGAATATTATAGTACAAGCTAATGTTTAATCTTCATTTCACATTTTATTATGTCTTCCAGGGTAATTTATAAAACTAATTTTTCTACCTATTATATTAAGAGAAATTGACGAGTCTATAATTTATGGACGAATCAGTCAGGTGTAAGATGACAGGTCTGAGATTCTGGTGCGAAATTCACTTATCTATTTGGCCAAATAGAGTTTTGGCATTATAACTTATGTCAGTTCGTAATGAAAACCCTAAATCTTATTCCTAACCTTAACCAGCCATTGTAAAACCTGATTCTAATTTCTCACACTGGTTTATAGCCCGCATTCGGTTTTAGATGTTGGGTGGACACTCTCAAGGTCACTTTAGCGTCATTCAAAGGTCGTCCACAGATTATAGTTTCACCATATACTTTTGCAGTTCACCATATATCTGATATTGATTATCACTGATTAACTATATATTGTCAATTACATAAACTTTTCTAATCTCTAAAGTAAGTAAGCTTTTCATAAGAAGTTTTAATTGTTAACTCATATAAAGGAAAGTTTAACACAATTATCTAATGACTCCAAATGAAGCTATATACATATAAAAATAATACTCTTACCGTTCCATTGTGATACACATATTGCTTTTACATAAACTGTTACCGGTACTGTAGAACTGTACGGTATTGGAAGATGACAATCGAATCCAGTTACATTGAATTCATATAACATATCTGTATGATTATTAAATCTTATTAAAGATCGGATAACACCTGAAATTTATTAATAAATGATAGAACAAATAAATTAGATTAATGAGGAAAATATTTTCATTTTAACGTAATTAAATTATTCATTACTGTTAGCAGTGACCAGTGGAGTTCAACCGAGACTGTTGTAAGATAGTAATTCGCGGAACACAATGATGGATGTGTCGCACAATTTTGTGGACTGGTTGAAGTTAGACATTAACACCGTTAGATGATGGCTGTCTCAATGGTCTGGAGGTTAAGTGCTCACACGCGAGATTGATAGGTCCTGGGTTCAAACCTCACAAGGCGGGATCGTGTATGAGAAATTCTGGGCATTAAATAAGAAAGATTAGTTCAGTGAAGAGTTCTCTTTTCGGCGAATTCATTTTCAAAGCTGTACAATCGCAATTATATATACTTATTTTTACAGGATGATAATAGTACTGATAATAAACTTGTTATACTTGGTGACAGTGAGGTTAAATAAACAAAAGTATTAAAAATTTTATAAAACAAGGAATGTTTAATAATCGTTTGATTGTTAATGGCCTAAATATTTATCAAAGCATAGATAGGGAAATTGTCATTGAGAAAGGATGGCTCAGCATGATAAGATAAAATGTTGAAATTGAAATTAAATGTAATCGGAATGATCATGGAAATAAAAACAAACCAGTTGGGGGTAGAAGATTTAAGGGGCAGGTGAAAGGTGAAGCAGATGGCTGTAAAGGAACAAGAGAAAATTTTTTAATACATTAAGACTAAGGTAGAAGAAGAGGTTGTACCAGTCTCTTTTGCACACATAATTCTGGTTTGTGCAGGTGTATGGTTATTGCTTCGGTCAAAAACGCATATAATTATAGTAGAAAAGAAAACCCTATACATGAACATCGACTTCAAAGGAGATAGAGCCACATATGTCTTAAAGAGGAGAATTTCGGACTATTTAAAAAGAACATTCCCCGCAGCAACATTGAGAATATCATTCTCCAGCCGATCATTGTTTATCAATAATCTGAAAGATAAATTATCGCATCTGACCAACTCAATGTGCATTTACCAATTTACCTGCTCATGTGGAGCTAGGTATATAGGTCATCCGATGCGTACTTTATCCGAAAGGATTCAAGAACATTGTCCGGCGTGGCTAAAAAGAGGAGGCAACGGCTTAGTAAGAATTTCTTTAATCGAACACCTTGTGAACACAGGTCACTCAATCAAGACAGATTCTGCGTTCAAAGTCATTTACAAGGTAAGTAGAAATCTTCCTAAGGCAATCAGACTGCAGCTCCTTTGAAAATGAATTCGCCGAAAAGAGAACTCTTCACTGAACTAACCTTTCTTATTTAATGTTTCAATTGGTGTATTCCGTTTAATTAATTCTGTGAAGTCCTATAATAAGACGAAACGGCCGTCCAGTGCTTCCGCGTTTTCCATGGTTGTCTAGCTTCAATTGACCTATGACCTCAACTATTAAAATTAACTTTTTTATTAACAATAAAAAAATTTTATCAGAAAGGATTGTGTGGAGATTTTAGAAATTTCACTGGTTGAAATCATGAATCGACTGAAGTTAGACCACCATGGAAAACCTGGAAGCACTGGACGGCGCTTTCGTCCTAGTATGGGACTTCTCAGCAGTGCGCATCCAAATTTCTAAATAATAAATGCAAACAATTTGATATCATCTATGAAGAATCAGTGAGAATGAATAGTGATGAAAATATATTTTGTCTTAATCGGGACTCTTTAGAACTGTAATAATAACAGATCCATACGAAGTCAAACCTAGCATCTTCCGATCTGGTATATATACGATGATACTATCTAAACAATGAATTCAAAAAGGGTCCGTTTATTAAGCATGAACTTCAGTGCGGTCTCATACTTCAGTGAAACAGTTGTCCATTACTTCCTGGTTTCCAGTGGTTGCCTAATTAAGACCAATTTGTGATTCAAACCGTAGAACTCAAAAATCTTAGCGAACATCTTATACATATTATTATCCAATTTCTTGGTAGTATGATAATTAATTGATAGTTGAAAATTAGTAGCATTCAGTAGATGTTAATTACCAACTGATCCCAAGAATATTAGTTGCAATTAATTAAATTATTGATACACATATACAAGCATTGAAATCATGTATATGTATCAAATGTAAATAATTTAATTGACCGTGGAAGATAAATATACTGTTGTGTCAGTAGTGTTTTCTTCCATATTCACCAACAACTTGGTATAAACAGCATTTATAAGTAAAATGTGTTGGAACTTTGGTTTCATCTTGAGTTGATTTCGTTGAAGATTATAATCATGAATAGAAATTATGAAAGAACAAAGATTTCACGATTCCAAGGTTCTGATGGCAGTGAAAAATGTATATAGGGTAGGACATGAATATATGTTAGATCGTAAACTTAAATATACAATCAATGAAATACCACCCAGAAACCAAATTGTCCAAAATGAAGTGATGCGCTGTTTTGTCTTTGTAAATAATCGTTAAAAAGAAAACGCTTTAAAGCACTAATAAACACTCATGGTAAATAATCTACGTATAGCATTATCTACCGAAATTCACGACAACATTCAAAATTGCGTATTTTAAGTTGGAGTAATCTATATTTTTATGAAAAACGAACTAAACTCGTCCTCTATTAATTGACAACCAAAATTATCCATCTTTATTTATAAATAACCCTTACAAGATAGGTGTAAACACAATTAATTACCAATCATCTTTCAGGGTTATTATCAAAATAGACTAATCAATTATATACTAGTGTTTAACAATTTGAGTAGCTGGAGATCGCATTGTTATAGAGAAAGTAGTGTTCCAGTAAATGCTCATTGTACATAACTTTTGTTATAACGGAATTTAGAACAGGGTTTTTTAAAAATAAAATTGTTATTAATTATAATTTCGTTGTATAGTTACTGAGTAACTAGATTATGTGAAGGTGAACTGTGGATGAATAAAAAATGAAAAAGAGAAAATCACGCTGAATAAGATCAAAATATCAAGATGGCTAAAAATATAGGTACTACTTTTTAAAAAAAGTGGTTTGGATGGTAAGCGTTTAACTAAGTGCCTATTGTTAACTAATCTTTGTAATTCGATTTGATCTCCTTCGTTTATCAACTACATCGAATTCGTTACATCTCCTCGGTCACTTTATTCAATTGTATTTTCATACATACGTTCAATCTGCCACAGGTTTTCGATTTTTCTTAGACATCCAATGAAAAATAGTGATGGTAAGATGATTGATTGATTCATCATTTCAATAAGTACAGAAACAGCTAACACATTTATATTACAGAGACAGTTGTATGCGTATGATAAATCAAGTAATATGAGGTTTTCGTCATAGATTGATATAAATTGGAATATCTTTTAAAGTCACAGAGCAACAGACAGTTATTTCATTCTGATAATGAACTAATTAGCAGTAGGCAACTAGAGCTGAGCAAACCGTTCAACCTAAAACCTTTTAGTTTCATGGTAGCTGGTTGGTCACCCATCAAATCACTTGAGTTAGACTTGAATGGTTTCCACTTCCAATTTTATTCATTTACAACAGTACAGCATTCCAGTTTATGTATACCGAAATGTTGTAACTTGTGTTGCCATTTTTTACATATCCGTATATTTAAAATTTTTGCACACATTTTGTGGATTACTGTGTACATACTCTTGAAATCTTGATAATTTATTTAGATAACTTGAAGTCAATTACAATGGTTTTTTCCAAAGTTGAATTCATGAATCAATCTAATTTAGACCACCATTAAAAACTTGGAAGCACTGGACGGCCGCTTCGTCCTATAGTGGAACTTCTCAGCAGTGCGCATCCACGATCCCACACAGGGGATTCGAATCCAGGATCTTCGGTCTCTCATGTGAACGCTTAAACTCTATATGGTTGCTAACTATTGAATGTTTTGTTTCATTTTTACTTTACTACATTGTGGATTTTGTACGTTTCCCAAGGGATTTTTCATTATGAACTTATATCATCTGGAAAGCTATTGTAAACGATCTAATACAGGACAGTACTTTGGCCGTAGCCTGAAAATGCTGAACAGTGTACTACCATGAGCCATTACAAGATTGAATCCAAAACGTGCAGATTTTACGCTAAATACACTATAATTATATCACTGAGTTAAAATTTAATGATTTACTCTTGATTTTTAGTATAAGTGGCTTAAATAAATCACTGAAGTGACAATAGTTAAACAGTTCCTGATAACTAGAAATCACTGGGCAGCTGTTTCGGCTTAGTATAAACCTACACAACAATGCGCATCTACAACTGCACTAAAGACCTTCAACTTTTACTTACTTCTTTTTCATTACAAATGTCATATTCCCTATTCCTACACCATTTTTGCTATTCATGTCAATCTGGTTATTACTGTTTGTGAAATGTTTCAAAAATAAGCTGAAGAATTGTCATTTACATTGATGTGAATAACGATGCAGGATGTAAAAACCTAAAAAAAATTTAACGCCTGAACGGAAATGAAATTTTTATGAAATCTGTCAACCTAAATGGTCATAGAAAAAAATCAGTTCCTTTAAATACTTTCCATCATTATTCAATATAACAGAGAGCTATAAAATTTTGTTTTATTTATATTAGTAAAGTTATTGTTATCTAAAATCAAATCTGTCTGAAGCATAAATATGGTAGAGGCTGGTTCCTACTCAAGACAAAAGTTTGCAAATAAGGAATCAAAAGGAACTTAGCTGCATCGACCCAAGGCTAGCAATTAGTGAATTTGAGGATACCAGGTTAGAGTTCTTCGGAAAACAACTTAACATGTGACATTAGTCAGCGGGTTAAAAGACAACAGTGTAGTAATACAGATCTGAAGATGTTATCTTTTAAGAACTACATAAAATGAATTATGTGTGGATATGGGTTATCATCTAAGTTTTAATATTTAAATTACCACTTAACTGTCTTA